ATCCTCTCCGTCGTGACCTCGCAGACTCATCCGGTTCTTTTCCAGCTGATGCCTTCGTAACTCGTCGTATACCCCCACCAAGACCTCCTTGAGCTCGTCGCCCGGCTTGCCCTTCCAAGCCGCCCCTCCTCCACCGATCTTTGTACAGCAACGCTCAACCACAAGGTTCATGATCTCATGACGCTTGGTGGGATATGGCCTCGGTGCAGGAAAGTGTGCGATACTCTGGCTGATGAACATGGTATAGAGGTGCAGCAAGGGGAAGTAAGACGACTCGATCTGCTGAGAAGCTTCGACGATGTAGCTCCATGATATGTCTACCTCACCGATGGGTAGACAGGCATTTGCGCGCCAAACTAGCCTGTTTGCGCGTGGGTTCTTGGTCAGCCATTTCGGTAGCACAGCACCTGCGCTGGCCATCAAACGTGCAAGCCGAACCAGCGGGATCGCAAGACCAGTCGCTACATTGGGGCGACCCAAAGAGTCCCAAGATGCGGCCACGAGATTGTAGCAATCCAAAAGAGAGTCTGGCCGCCGATCGTCGGGCGCGTTGGTGCGATGTGCGGTGTTGATAAGGGCTGGGATGATGGCTTGGTCAAGAATGGATGTTACTGTGAAGGCGCCGGTGGGCTCTCGCTGCCAGAGTACCTCCAGGCCAGCCCATATTTTCATCATAAAAGCATGGAGGCGTTCAGGTGGCTGGTCGCATATTGCTTTCCATATTGAGGCAACATCGAAGGTTGCGCGTAGGTTTGGTTTGGGGACCACGACGTAACGGCAAGTTGGACAAGCATTTGAGTTTCCCCTACCCTCCTTCAGCCACTTCTTGATGCACTCATGACCGAAGATATGCTTGCAAGGCAGCGCCGCAGGCTGATGGGTCGCGCTGAAGTGCTCGGTGCAGATGTTGCAAGTGTCTGCGGGATGCAGTTGCGTGTTGAGGAAGTTGTCCATGCCTGCTTGAACGAGGGCTGCAAGTTGGTAGAGACTGAGTCGAGCAGCTGGCAACTCAGAGCTTGCAGTCGATAGACATGTTCGTGGAAATGCATCAGGTGGGTGAATCTGTTTGCAGTGAACGAGCGATTGTGAAGGAACAAAGGCATGTAAGTTTGCGACTTCACGCCTCTGTCGTGTGAATTCGAGATTGAACACAAGTAGCTAACTCATAGGAAGATACTGGAAACAGCTTCCGACCTCAAAAGAGAACTTTGTCGTGAAGGGGAACCTGGCCACATGCACTGCGAACCTGGTCGGCCATTCTACCCTCGGTGGCAAGATTAGACGTGAAGAGTCATGTGGGCTCCTTCCATAAACGCTGCATGTCTCCGGGGCCTCTGAGGAGAATATGGCGTCAGTCACGGCTTCCATCGCCATGCAGGGTGCTTCCACTCAAGGTTCGCGATCTCGTCATCTGACAAAGTTGCGAGCTCTGTATGAGCTTCTAGCTGCCTGCTGTCCCTCTTCCTGTTGTCGCGGGTCATCCAGAGCTTAGTGAAAATCGCCACGACGGTCCATGTCACTGCGCAACCCAAGTTGATCCCATTTCCAATGGCATAACGGGGAGAGTCGCCAGGTAGATAAGTCCAACTGGCGATCAGGGCGCCAACGTATCCAAAGAAGACGTTGGTTCCAATGGCAATGCTGCGTGCGGAGTCAGAAAGCACGTTTGCGCTGACTTGTGCGTTCGTCATGGCAGCCAACGAGAAGCATGTTGATGCGCAAAGGAAGATAGCTGCATATCGAATACTTGCGTTCATCGTCGCAAGGAACATCGCATACCCAGCAATTACAAAAGGGCCCGTGAATGCAATGAGCGTCTGTCGAGAGTTCATTTGCCAGCTTACGGTCGTGATCAGAATAGTGCAGACCACACCCAGAACGTACGGCGGCACTGTCAAGAGCTGCTGTTGGACGACGGTGCGAGCTGGGTAAATGGTACGAACGATCGTCGGCAGGAAGAACGAAATGGCTATGACAGTTATGCTGTCAAGCAGGAAGATGAACGATGTCGCAAGCGTGATTGGGTTGGAGAAGCCGCGTCGAAGCTTCAAGGTATCGATCTTGTCGAGCAGTTCGGTCTGGTTGAGACGCTCGGATTTGATCCTGCCAACTATCATCCGTATCTCATCTTCGGTCATCCAGCGTGCAGTGTCCGGGCGGTCAGTCAGTGTGAAAAAGGCCACGACAGAAAGGCAAATGGTAACGATGCCTTCGATCGCAAAGATCCTTTCAACTGTTATTCAGGGACTTGCAACATACAGGCTATTTGCTTACATTTGCCAACCATCGAAGAAACCGACGGAGCTCAAGTTCAGGATAGCCGAAGCGATCATGCCACCGAAAGCTCCCGCGAGAGGGGCCATGGACAACCACAGCCCAAGACGAAAGGTCAATTCCGACCTTTTGTACCATCGTGAGAGGTAGTAAACGCATCCAGGCATTACGCCGGCCTCGAAGATCCCAAGCAGGAATCGAACAGCACACGCCTGAGCGCGGGTTCGTACGAAGGCTGTCGCGATAGACATGGCACCGAAGCCAAACGACGTCATCGGCAGAAACCATCCAGGGCCTACTGCTATATCAGAATTGAACAAAGCGCTCTAGTCATCGTGCGCACCGATCAATTTGCAGCAGAGCGTTGCTGGCATCTCGAAGATTATGTATGACACGTAAAACGCCGATAATACGACGTTGTAGTCATATCCCTCAAGCTTGAGATCCTCCTCCATGCCAGCTATACGGGCGTTGCCTGTTGTGATCAGTCCGTGGGCATAAACAAGCCATGCGCAAACGGCCTTACCGATGTTCGTTCGATCGATGAAACACAAGAGATACAGTACAATGACGGTAGGCAGGACGCACAGGTCGACTTTCATCAGTAGCTTCCTTTCCCGACTGCTTGTCACATTGTTCGAATTCGGCTCATCGTGACCTGCGTCGACCTCAAAGGTCATCTCACCGGCGTGCTCCCGGTCCATGATTGCAGATTTGAGAGTAAGTTTCAACGCGAAAAGCGACTTGAGAAACGGCGCTGACATGCTTACAAAGGTGGGGTACTAGCTTCCGGATGAATCGATCCTGGCTTGCATGGTATCCATGTCTGACAGCGGGTGGCAGCAACTCCAGCTGCAGTCTGCGGTCGTACGAACCAGATGCTAGCCGCAATCGGACTAGTGTTTGAACAACGAGACATCTACGACTGCGCAGCAAACGTCCATGTCTTTGTCACCAACATTTGCCCACACTACAGCACTAAATTTGATCAAGAATGTCAAGCCTACAACAATTCACTCCCACAAGCAACAAAAGAAGCTTCGCCACAGGCCCCAGCTCGAGTCGCGCAACTATCGCAATCCAGCCTGGTCGATGGATGTTCACTCGACAGCGATCCAAATCGTAAAACCCCAAACGCTTTCACACACTGTTCGTGAAATTTCAAAGAAGCCTTCGCGCATCCACCAACATTGAGCGGGTGTCAGTTCATTTCCTTGACAATTTACTCTAGCCATTAAACCAACTACCCGGCGTCCGAGCTCAACCTCGACCTTAGTTGGACCGACCGAAATCTCACTCCGCTTACGTCATTTCTGGAGTTCTCGGCTGGGCCGCGACCCCGTTCTCAAAATGCCACGCAGGGTGAAAAAGTCTCATGTCTTTGCGACAAAGTCTCGACCGAAGCGGTCAAACACTACTCTGAAGCAGAAGCGACACTTGCCATCCAATACACCGCCTACCCTCGAACCCTCCTTCGATACAGAAGAACCAAAAGAATCGTCTGAAAGCGGAAGATCGTCGACAGCATGCTCTGAAGTCTCAAGTCGTGATGACCTGTTTCCTGAATCGTCTACGATGGCCACGACCCCTTCGATGAGTGTAGAACTACTGAAAGTCTCTGCAGTATCGAGCTCTCAATGTATTGTTTCCAAAAGCGCTCTTTGCAGTACCGCCTGCCCTTCATCCTCTGGTTGCGCGAGCGATATGCCCGCAGATTCGGAACACGAGTCGCGTCCACATGAGCCAGAAGCTGCTACCTCAGATATCAAAGATTTTGCGGAACACGCCGCGGAGAATTCGGACAAGCGAAAGCTCTCAAAAACTCCAATAGGACACATAAGCGACAACCACTATACCACACTAGAGCCGATGAACCCGTCTTCTATGCGCCGCACGAGAAGCACTTTCAAGTCGCTAGGCCCGAGCATAATATTCAACTCGCTCTTCGGTGGTAGAGATGATCTTGTATCGACTCCCATTCCATCCTCCCGTCAGCCTCCTGCAGCTAAACCTGCGAAATCGGAAGTTGAACAGGTCCCAGCATACGCGACAACTACACACGCTGCGTGGTTCAGTAGCCCGGCCAACAAAGTTGTACGTGGTGTACCGATGGGTATCTCGCGAAGCGTCGCCGAACTGCAGCGTATTTCGCGGCCCACGACTCCTGTGCTGGATCTCGAGACGTCGGTCTCCGCTCTTTCAGCGCATCAGTAATATTCGACTGGCAGCGTCGCGCAAACCTTGGTCGCATCTTCTCTAGCACGTCAACCTAGGAAAACCTGGACAGATCTGCAGCCTACAGCAACGTGGAAATATGCGAAGTAGGGAATCTAAGGTCAATGGAGACTTGAGGCCTGTTCAATCTTGTTCTTTTATTAGAGGTTAGTTTACTTTGACCGGAATTAACCTCTACGATTGGCATACACGTAATGAGATCTAGCACATGATGGCACTGATTCTGGTTTTGGGTTTTGGTACGATTAAGCATTACGAGATCTGTGAGTGGCTCACTATTAAGGGTCTTCGCTAGAGAATGGGAACCACGGTTGTGCATTGAGTCGACACATCAGATATTCTTATTAAAGAACACTTCTTCGGCCATCCCCTCCTTTCAGCAGTCTCATTTCCAAATACCAAGCCTACTCTCAAGCAAAATCCCAGAAGTCACGTCTAAATCACAAGCGCACCCAAACCACACCCGCGCCCATATCCACATACCATCCACCATGTCAAGCATCTTCAGCAAGCTCATGGTCTACTTCTCCCCAACACCAGAGAAGCCAACATTCCGCATCACCGCACTCGTCGCGCCCGCAACGTCACAACAATACTTCTCCGACTCCAGTTTCTCACACGCCGATCTGATTGGCATCAACGAAACCATCACGTTCGATGTCGACTGTGATGCAATCCCCAAAAGCATTCGCTGCAGCTGCCTAGCCTCGGGCCGCGAATGCAAAGCAGAGTACCTGAAGGAGCACTACGTTATTGAGTGGGCAGCGGGCAGTATCATGGAGAACGAAGAGGTGGAGGTTGGAGGGCAGATTGTACGCAGAGAGAAAAGGGGGCGGCCTAAGATTTGGGAGGGTTGGTGCAAGGATGGTGGAATGGTTTATTTGAGCCCCACGGAAAGGCTGAGGTGCATTGAGGGCTATGATGAGCATGTGAGGGAGGAAAGGGAGTGTGATCGGTTGAAGAAGGCGAACTCGTTCTAGTTGGGGCAGGCTGGTGGCTGTTCATGCCAGCACTCTTCTACAACTAAGTATCGCCAATGGTTGCACCTCATACCAGCAAAAAAATGAACAGGTTTACAGACTACATGAAGATGAAAACGCGCAAGACGGATGGCCTAACCTCGATAAAGGCTTCAGGGTGTTCCGCCTTTCCTAGGTTGACGCAGTCGTGAATTCGGAAGGAGTACATTCACGGCAGTATTAGCGCAAACCCAAACACGCAACCAATCGTTTACCATTGTCTCACACAACGCATTCGTTTGTCGCCCATAGCCCTCTTCACACCGTGCGTCACATGCGAACACTGACACCATCAACTCTTTGTTCACTAACCGTACACATTGACACAGCCGCTTCTTCCTTATCATCCTCGTACCCGGTCTGCTGATACTGCGCCACCTTGTCTCGCGCAAATCTTCCAGGACCTTCCGACTGTTCACATACTCTCATAGTCAGGTAAACTACGCCCGAAGTCGGATATGTCGGCTTACTTTGATCCTCTAGGCGAAACGGAGCCGAACACCACGAAATACACCTTGACGGTCTTGATTCCACCTAGACCACCGCCGCGCTGGTTGCCCAGCATATTCAGCAACAAACCATCTGCAAACACAGATCTTGTGGCTACCGGGCACAAAATCCCTGCGTCGAATACCAATCCCAACTTTGATCTTTTCGAACTCAAAGACATCGATGTTCTAGACACCAAGACTGTCAATATACAAAGCGCATGGTTTCCATGCGATATGAGGTGTGCGCATGTTCAGAAGGGATACGAGTGTAGAGAAGGCTGCTACTTTCTCGAGAAGGGTGGGGACGTGACAAGATGGCGATGCAAAAGGGAAGACTGTGAAGGACATGTGTACTGTGGGAAAGTCATGACAGATGATGAAGGAAAGAGCTGCTTTGGTAAGAAGGGAGAGAGAATGGTATGCTTGGCGAAGAGACCAGAGACAAATTCTTAGAGGACTTTGGCATGATAACAATACGACAAGTGAATAGACGAATCAGGATGATATTATAAGCGTAGGTATTGAGTGACGATGCGTAAATGCATAAAGGGTATTCGCTAAGCCAGAACTCGTTCGAAATGCGCAGATGAAAGCGACTATCTCGCTACTAAACTTTTACAAGAAGAAAGCGGCAACAGCAGCACCAAGACCAGCCAGAGCTGGGACTTGAACCATGTGGGCAGCGCCAGTGGCTACTTCTTCAGGACCGCTGGACGTGGCAGAAGCTCCAGAGCTAGCAGCAGATTCCGAGCCAGTGCTTGCCGCTGCGTCAGAGTCGGAGCCGGTAGCAGTGGCAGATCCAGAAGCTGCGGATGTGACAGTGGAACGGGACGCTGTTACGGAAGCGCTGCCGGCCGATACTGATGCGGCCGCTGTGGCACTGGGAAGGGAGTCACCGCCCTCGGTGATGACGACGGCGAACAGGTCGAAGTAGCCTTCGGGGAACACTGTACTGAAAGAGAGAGCGGCATCCACACCGTCCGGGCAGAGGGAGGAAGCGTATTCTGGGTCAGCGCATAGAGAGCTCATTTCGGATTCGAGACCAATGGTAGTTTGGGTGCAGGTTGCCTCCGCTTCGTCGGTGTTCTGGCGCGAGCATGCGCCGGAGACGGTCACCGTCACGCCGTAGTGGTCATTAGAGGCGTCATATTCATAGTAGGTGTTGCCTCCGACAGTGATGGTCGAAGGGACATCGGCCTAGTCGCAACAGATCAGTGAATGTTATCGATGATTTCGACTCGTTGTTACGCACCAGTGAGTCGTCGAGGGTAATACCCTGCACAGCCACAGACATGATAGTGCGGTCGTTGTCAACGCTGACCACAGAACCCTCGTACGAAATGCCCATATCGCCTAGACCGGGCATCCAGACCTGAGCGGTCGTTTGAGCCGCAGCGTAAGAGGCGAAAAGCGCCACGGAGAGGATCTTAGACATCTTGCGGTGTTGATTGAGACGAGCAATGTGGGGTATAGTAACAAGTATTAGATTAGAGTCTTGAAAAAGATTGGCAACGAACGACAGGCAGTAACGAGTGATGCTTGGCGATGGAGAAAAGGTTCGTCGAGTATGGGATATCTAGTCTACTTATTGGGGAGATTCGGAGGCTGATCGCTTAACTGACAGCGCATGATGCGGCACGCCTAACCGGGCGGCGCAGGCCCCCTGAAGACCACCAAGCCGCCTTTCTAGGCACACCGGCATCTGATATGGTCTAGCTGCGTCTATTCGTGCGACTGTTGCCTAGAAGAAATTGCGCGCAAATCCTCCGCAATTTTCATCGAGTCAAGCCGAGTATGCTGTGTAGTGACGTCGATATTGCTTGGTGATGCGCACGCGAAGCCATGAGATAGAGCTGCCAAATTCTCGTACTCAGTCAGCAAGATGGCTGAATGCTTGCCATGTTCAAAGATACTTCGCCTTCACGCGTGTGACCTCGATACAATGGTGATGATTCGTGTGTGAGCTAGACTTGACAGACGGAAGAGTTTGTGGCTTGCAGCATGGCCCATGCATGTTTCGGTGCGGCGCTCTCTGGGCCAGTCCATGGGTAGCGACCTTACCGGGACCGCAAGCGAGGGCACATGTGTATGCCAGCCCTATGCAGGCTCTAGTTGTTCGGGAAGGCCGCAATTTCAAAAGTGCGCGATTTCGGAGAGATTTTGCAAGGTGGAGTTCTGGGATGAAGTGGGAGAAGCGGATGCGTCAAGCGCTGCTGACATAACACGAGCTCAGGATTGCCAGAATGGTGGGCAGACGTCTCCACGAGCTTTCTGGTCGTGTGTATCGTCACACAACACATCCAATCCTTCGTACGATAACGCGCATTGTGGAACTAAGCGTGCATTACAAATTGTGTAAATTAAGGTAAAAATCAAGGGTATCGCGCTCGCAAAAGCAATACAACGCAGCACAAACGTCAGGCCTGCCACACAGCCGTCTCAGCCATACCCGCCGGGTGTGACAAGCTCTTCCAGCCCATCAAAACCCCGAGTCACTACCACCGTCACACGGTATACCACTCTGCCTCCATACGTCCCTTCGATATTACCACCCGGTCGACGCGCATAGGTATTGGGCTCGAGGTCATTTGGAAGGCCGTAGTGTGCAGGTGGCATCGGCCTCAGCCTCCATCAGTCGCGGATCATAGTATCCCCAGCCATCTTAGGCGTCGTTCTGGTAGTATTGAGCTCCACGGCGCATACCACTCGAAAAGTTGTAGTCATCGTCGTCGTCGTCCCTCGCGCGAAGGAGATCCTTGGACCAGCCCTGGAAGGGCTTCTTGAGCATCGACTTCAGAGACGAAGAAGTCGCAAGTGCATGATGCATGCTCGGTGAGGATGAGCGTTCAACTGGTGCCGTCACGGAAGAGCTGCGACTCGATGGCTTGGATGTTTGCGCCACCATGTTGAGGGTATCGAGATTGAGTGTGAGATTGGATGTTCAAATGAATTGGAGACTTGTAGGTTCAGAACGAAAGAGGATGATTGCTAACATTCGCTTGCTTTGACAGATACCCTTCCTCGAACTGTCGGTCTGGCGCCTCACTATATACTCCTCCTATCGCAAAGTCGAAACGCATCGCTCCCAACAATCGTTCCGCCGAGTCATCGCCGAAAAACCTCATACCGAAAGACTGCATACCTTGATAAGAAAGACCCACTGCAGTCTTGCATTTTCAAGACTGTAATTACGATGATTGGTCAAGAAGCATGTTTTCATGATTTAGCCTGAGTAAAGCATTGCACATGTGGCGAATCGGGTACAACTCGGACTTTCGGAGGCGGTCGGCGAGGGCTGGAATCGGGATAATTCGGAACACAAGAGACATAAGAAACCGCCAAGCACACCGGACGATCACAAGCTTGTCAAGACAACATGACCAAGTGGGAATGGCAGAATGATATTTTCTAATTTGGGAATTCTGGTTTCGTGTACAAAGTTTCAAGACCGGACTGCGACAAAGACCTCTGGCCAGGAAACTGCTTGGCGCGCCCATGCCCTGCGATCGCCTGAACGGACACACTCAGCGCAGGTTGACAATCGCTGCCAGCGCTACTAACGCTACCAAAGCTGCTATATAGTGGGTTCGTCTTTGGCGTGCGTACGCGGTGTAGTCCGCAATAACGCTCTACATCGCGATCAGGCCATTCAGTCCGTCTTACATCCGGAGACGTGCCCTAATCTCATCTATCCGTGCAATGGCTTCATTCGCAGCTGCCTCGTTTTGCGCAATCATGAGCGCCAACCTCTCGGACAGTTCGGTGCGTCGTCTAGCGAACGCTTCTGCTTCTGCTTCTGCTTCTTCCAAGAACGACGCCCTCCATGGACTGTGACTACGTACGATGAGCGTGGTACGACACATCGGACAGGTTGCATTTTCGTTTCTGTGCAGGTTTGCGTGCATCCAGACGTGTAGGCAGAGCTTGTGGAAAATGTGAGGCAAGGGACAGGTCTTCGTCTGGACTACAGCTGTGCGCGTGATGGAGGATGCGTGCTCGATGATTTCCGGTGGATCAGCCATGTCATCAGCCCTGCAAATGTCGCATACGCTGCCATGCTCAACGTAGTGGTCGTCTTTGAGATTGTCCACACTCGCGTCGAAGAACGTGTCAAGGCGCGCATCGATTGTGATGTTGTTGGCCATACTGAAGAGCCTTGAGGTTGAGATCTGCGGGGCGTGGTGTGTCAGGAATCTGAGTTGAGATTAAAGTGATCGTAGCTAATGATTGAGTAGAAAGAAGGGTTGTGCTCAGGAGCCAACCTTGACGGAGCTGATGTACAGTGATTAGCACCTTTGCGATTGTACCCTTCGACACCTATTTCACTTGCGCCAAACCTTCGGTAAATAACGCGAGCACCAAAAAAGTCTTGACGATCCAATTTTTAACCATAGTAGCTCCAAGAAAAGTGAGAGAAGAGTTCAGTTGATCACAAAACAAAAAGTCTCCCATCATAAAGGCACAATTCAA